CTGTTTTGCTTTATTTTTGTATTTTCTACTGCAAGTGTAGCAGTAGAAAAAATAATGATAAAATTGCCTTTCTTGATTGTCATAGTGTATTTCTGCTACCTGGGTCCTTTGCATACAGTGAGTGAAAGTCAGAGCCCTCTGTTGTCTCATCTCAAGTCCGTGATCTACCTCTATAGCAGTGATTAACAGGAGATTAGTTAACTATCTAAGGTACCTAATAAATAGTAGTCAGTTCACTTAGTTCAAATATAAAACATTTCTGGCCTACACACTTGCATTTGGGCGGGTATAGTACATCTGAATCATCCAGACATGTCTGTCTTACCCAATGAGGACAGTGTCATAGACTAGTCCCGCCGGGTAACACTGTACGTTTGCTTTACTCTTCCCACAGACTCTTGCTTCATGTTGGTTTTGTCTGTATCCTTCAGCTTGTTCTTTCCCATTTAGTTCTTTAACTCTTTCAAAACTCACTCTTGGCCTTGGAAAAATGTTAGGATTTTTTACTTTGCAAAGATTTTTCTTTTGATTGGTGCTGGTGAGTAGGATGGCATTTAAGTGGATATCTTGTGCAGATGATTTGTACAGGAAATTGACCCTCAATTCTGTGAGAACAAAAGAGGAAGTGGGAAGAAAGAAGAAGGAAATACGATCTTTTGACTCAACCAAAAAGACCATAAAACCAGAGATGGAACGAGGAAGAATAGGGAATAAAAAGGATTCTTTTCCAAGTTGTGGTTCTTTTAGTACTTTTGCCTCAAAAATGACTTTTATCCTATACTTATTCTGTGTATTTCATAAATACATAATATCATCTGGCCTTTATCTGTCTTTTAAATTTACTTACAGTTGTGCTGTAAGTCTCATTTTGTTTTCTCTTTTCATCAGATAGCTTGATTTTAAAAATCTGACTTGTCTTGAACAGTCCTCCTTTGAGCTTGGCATTCCTCCTCATTATAGTTGAACCACACACTATAGACGAGTTTTTTTGTTTGTTTGTTTTGAGTTGGAGTCTCACTCTGTCTCCCAGGCTGGAGGGCAATGGCACCCTCCCAGCTACCCGCAGTCTCAATCTACTGGGCTCAGGTGATCCTTCTGCCTCAGCCTTCCAGGTAGCTGAAACTACAGGCATGCGCCACCATGCCAGGCTAATTTTTTTATTTATTGTAGAGATGCGGTCTCGCCAGGTTGCCCAGGCTGTTCTCGAACTCGTGGGGCTCAGGCAATCCTCTCACCTCAGCCTCCCAAAGTGCTGGGATTATAGGTATGAGCCACAGCGCCCAGCCCCTATAGACGTGTTCTTACACACGTTGGTGTCTGTCACTACTGTCGTCATTATAGAATTCCTGCTCATCTAGTTTAAGTGCCTGTCCTTAAAGTCTGAAGCCTGCCCATCTCCAGAGTTGTGTTTCATATTTGGTCTTCTCATAGCATCCTCTGTGAGTACGGCAGTATACGTGATTTATTCATTCAACAAATCTTTTCTGAGAGCCTTTTATATATAAGTACTATTTTTGGTTCACTGTTCAGTGAACAAGACACAAAAATCTTTATCCTAACACATTTTAGTGAGGAGACTTAGATAATTTACAGAATATAATAAGAATTAAATAAGTAAATTATGCAATATGTTTGGTGGTAATAAGAGCTATGGGGAGAAATAAATCAGGAGTTGGGGGATTTGGGAGTATTGTTAGAAATAGGTGCTTAAAAATAGAATAGTCAGAGAATGCCATACTGAGAGAGTGACATTTTAGGGAAATGTCTTTGGGAAGGGTGTTTTATTGAGAAGGAAAAGCCAGTACAAAGATCCTGAGGCAGGAGTACACCTACCATATTCAAGCAATAACTTTGACGCCAGGGTCCAGAATGAATAAAGCTAGAGGAATAGTGGTGCGAGATGCTGGGCAGACCAGTTGTGAAGGACATTGCAGACCCTTTAGGGGTTTTTACGCTAAAATGGAGAGCCACTAAAGAGTTTTGAACAGAGAAGTAACACAACCTTTTAGACTATAAAAGGCAGCAGGTTTATTGAGAATAGCTACTGGGAAGCAAGCACAGAAACATGGAAATCAGTAGTCATTGACATAATCTAGGAGAGAGATGGTGCTGGTGAGTGAGAGATGGGTAGAGTCTGGATATATTTTTGGAAGGCAGTACCAATAGAATTTCTGAGTCGACTGGATATGGTTATGTGGGAGCGAGAAAGTTATGAATGTTTCCAAGGTTTTGGGTCTCAGCACCCGGAAAGATGGAATTGCCATTAACTGAGATGGAGAGTTCTGGGGGGAAGCAAATTTGGAAGGAATGATTGGTAGTAGTTTTGTATACTGAGTCCAAATGGTGTTATTAATGATTTCTAATTTTTATATTCTGAAGCCCAGCACATTGTCTTGCATGTAGTAGGTCTTCACTTAAATCACTAGGTTACTTTTTTGTAGTAAACATTTTTTTTTTGGAGTTGGAGTCTCACTCTGTCACCCGGGCTGGAGTACAGTGGCATGCTTACGGCCACCCAAGTGTTGACCTGCTGGGTTCAGGCGATCCTTCCACCTCAGCCTTCCAAGTAGCTGGAACTACAGTCGCTACCACACACGGCTAATGTTTTTTTTTTTTTAACTGTAGAGATGAGGTCTCACCAAGTTGCCCTTGGCCTCCCAAAGTGCTGGAATTACAGGCTTGAGCCACCGCGCCCAGCCACTGTTAAACATTTTAAATAATTAAGCAGTTTCTGTCAGTCATCGGAAAACTCTTCCTAGAATTGCAACATTTTGGAGCTGAAAAGACCTTTGGGTGACCCAAGCCACTGGGGCTTCAGTCAAAGTAACTGCATCACCAGCATGATCAATATCTAGGCGGGGTCGGGAGAGTGCGTGTTTCAGAGTGAGGTTTAATGCTATGCTCATTAGGCCTCCAAGCTGTTTTCAGAAACATGAGAAGTCTTACGTTGCACTCTGAATTTCCTTGGTGTCCATCCTGAGAGCTTGGGTTGTTTAGACGCAGCAGGCGCTGAGACCACCAGATACCAAAGGGGTTTTTAGAGGGTTGATTTAATTAATCATCCTGAAACTTGCTGTTGATGTAAGGCACCCAGTCCAGAACCAGCCGCCAGTCAGTGACTCATACCAGCTCCAGGTTGCCCACAGTGCTTTACATGCTCACTGTGGGAATCCAGTGGTGCAGGCCCAGGAACCTGCTCAAAATTGTGGCACTGTCCACACTCTCAAGGTGACCAGATTGCTAGTTTTGAAAACCTCAAATTTTAATATACTGAATTTCACAAAGTAATATATAATGTATGACATATACTGGTTTTGTCCTGACATGGCTTAAAAGTTGACTTCAGTGACTGCTTAATACTGTTTCTAACTTGGTCATTGATAAAGACCAAGAGATAAAGATAGTCTTACTGTTGAGTTTTTGTAATTTTTAACAAGAGGAATGTTTTCTCTGTCTAAAAAGAAATGTATTTAAACTGTTTGATAATCATTAAACAGAGTAAGAGTTATAAAACATTAAAATGTGTTACCACTGTCACTGCCCTCCCCCCTCAAAAAAAGCCATATAACCGTAACTGTGGGTTGTGTAGTATTCAGTAATGAATGCTAATAAATATGGGTATTTTCTGTACTTCTTTTTGGCAGTTATTTTCATTTTAATAAGGGATTGGCATTTTGTACCCCAGTGAAATTTCTGCTAGAATAGATAGTTTTTTCATTAGAATAAGGACAAATATAGTACATGGAACTAGTTTGAAGATTGTTTTCATAATATGGATTTTTGTTTATTTGATAATCCTGAATTGATTATCTTTATATAATACAGTTGTTCCCATTCACTATAATGCTGCATTTAAACAAGAAACAGCATATCTGCTTTAAGTTAACTTTTCAGGATGTCTGAGCATATCTTTAAGTTTATCGTTACATTCTTAATGTAAAACAAAATTTAACTAACTGTGTAATTTTAAACATATATTTCTTTTGAGAGAAGAAAGGAATTTGATGCAACAAACTCCAAAACTGTTAGAGGAGTTACAGATCCAAACTGCAATAGGAATTTCCTTGTCTGTATCATATAGACAGTTATGGATCCAATTTTAAACATTGTTTAATGTGATTTTAAGATAAAGACACATCTTGTTTTCTGTCACTTATGCTTTTGCATAATTTGGGCATTTATTTAGCTAAGTTATTGAACATACATTATGTAATTCGATAGAAGAATGATACGGTTCCAGATACAGTTCTTATTTCCAAGGAGCACATAGTAAGGTGTGGGGAGCAAACATACATAGAGTATATTATGAATATGGAGATAATGATAGAGAGTATGAATGCAGCCTGAGTTATGCTTTGAAGAGCAGGGAGGAGGAGCAAGTGAGGCTTCCCAGAGGGATACAGTAGTCCCACCTTACTTGCAGTTTTGCTTCTGCTGTTTCAGTTACTGGTGATCAACCCCAGTCTGAATGTATTAAGATATTTTAAGAGAGAGACCATATTCACATAGTTCTTAGTAGTTATATTGTTATAATTGTACTGTTTTATTATTAGTTACTGTTGTTAATCTCTTACTGAGCCATATTTGTAAATTAAACTTTATCATAGGAATATATGTGTAGGAAAAAACATAGTATATGTGGGGTTAGGTACTGCCCATCCACTGCAGGTGTCTGGGAACATTTCCCCTGCAGATATGGGGACTACTGTACACCAGAGCTGTGTGTTATGAGTAGAGGTCAGCCAATCAAAAGAAAAGTGGGGTAAGAACCCGTTTCAGGTAGAGGAATGTGTGAACAGATACCAAAAGGTGGGAAGCAGCGCGGTGAATGTTAAAGTCTGCAATTTGGGATGTGAAGCGGGGAGAGGCAAAGCTGGAGTGGTGGGTGGAGACCTGATCCCAAAAGGTCTAGAAGACCACGATAAGGAGACTTTAATTTGATGTTGAACTATTGAAGAAGCTTAAGAAGAGTGACGTGGTCAAATTTTTGTTTTAAATAGATCACTTTGCCAACTGTATGGAGGATGGATTTGAGGGAGACAAGACTGGAGGCAGTAGTCCAGGTGAGAGATGTTGGGAATGCACACTAAGGCATTGGCAGCAGAGATGGAGAAGAGGGATGGATTTGGACAGAGATAAAACCACAGATGTAAATTTTTCCCGTTCATAGATGATAAACCAGTTACATTAAAAATAAGTGGCAGGAGAAAGACATAATAGAAAAGTAATTGTTATTTGACATAGGCAATTGGATAGTTTGCTTTGGCAGACAGTCACTAAAGACAGTCTCAGTGATCAAGGAAATCACTACTGGAAGAACACTGTATTTTTTGTATGAGTGTCCTGGGCTGTGAGGAGCAGATGATCTTTAAGATGGTGTAGGGATCACCTGTTTATATAGTATGAATAAATTTAGGAGCTGTAAATCCTTAGGAAGAAACAGATCTTAGAAGGCTTCAAACACTACCAACTGTAGAAACTCAATAAATGTCCAGTGATGGTGATATTTTCTAGAACCTTCAGTTAAATTATTGATATTTTACAAAAATCCACTGCCCAAGAAAACAACATAGTGTAAAAAAATTGTCATTAAAATAACGAACAATTGCAGGCTGTTATACATTGTGCATAGCAACTTAAAGTATTTTAGAATGCTAGAATATTTTATATTAAACCAAAAAATGTTACTTTTGCAGCTAATTGTAGTTTTTTTAGAAGCATTATTTCTGTAATTTTTTCTGTTTATAAGTAGAGGGCTTGGATTTATACAGTATTACCTAGTTCTGAAAAAGAGTTTCTGTTATCTTTTCTACAATTTGTTTTATATGGAGAGAGTCAGGAAAGAAAGGTAGTTTGGGAGGACTTATAAAACATAATTGTTCCTTCTTTAAAATCATAACTACCACCATAACAGAATATCCTATATGTAAAGCTAGTAGCTCTTTCTTTTTGAGATTTCTTGTTTTCATTTTGAGAAAACTTCTTTTCCTATTTGTTTCTATCTGCTTTTTGGTGACTGCATATAAATCACCGCTAAATTCTTATTTTGTGGTCTTTTTTCTGACTACTTTGTTATATTTCGACAAGTGAATTGTTTCCTCATGCTCAGAAGACACGGTACCGATTTATCCTTCTTCATGACTCTACAGTCTGTGTAGCCCATTCCATTCTGGAGCCAGCAGCTGAAAAACTGTGTATGTACTGAATTCAAATGAATTTTGTAGCTGTTGAACTCACCGTGACGTCCTTTCTCTTCTCGTGTCTTTCAGAAGCTTTGCATCGCCCCTATGGTTGTGATGTTGAACCCCAGGCACTGAACGAAGCCATCAGGTGGAGCTCCAAGGAGAACTTGCTCGGAGCCACTGAGAGTGACCCTAATCTCTTCGTTGCACTTTATGATTTTGTAGCAAGTGGTGACAACACACTCAGCATCACTAAAGGTGAGGCTTCTATGTAATATCCTCTCACTTTTCAGATTTTATTAATAGTTAAGAAATAAGGGACCTTTTCTGGTCTTTTCATTGACTAAGATTAGCTAGATGATTTGGGCCCAGATACTTCTGGTATTTTTTAACCTATCTGTGGGATAATGTCCTATCAAGTATCACTCTGCTTTTTAGAGTTTATTAAGGATGAAATGCGATAAAGCACCTCAGAGAAACCTCCACAGTGTTTATATAAACTGTTCGTAATCTCAAAATTCTGTACTATAATTTGCCAACATTCATCTGCTACAAAGATCAGACTTGCTGTACATCTATTCTAATTGAACCGTGGCTAACTGAGATGAGTGCTGCTGCCAGATCCCAGTGCTACTCAGAAATGTTGACTGTGGACTTGACTGCCTGTCTGTAGACTGTTCGTTACCTGTCCACAATGAGATTAAGAACTGGCACCCAAATGTAAACCGACTACATCACTAAGCACATTGTTTGTTATTTAGTTCAGCTAATATTTTAATTTTTTGGAGCAAGGTTTTCTGTATGAAGGTAGTAGTCTAGTGTTTCACATTCTAGCATAAATATCTTGTAGACCAGTTTTAAGTAGCCCTGGCCTAGACAACTTAAAAATCTATCATTGGTGTTTATTTGGTTTAGTGAAAGGAGTAGTAGGAAGGGTTTCTATTATAGTAATCTCAAAAGAGTAGTATATTTCAATGGTAAATTGTTATAAAAGACAACTCTAGACATAACCAAGTAAAATCACTCTACTGCTTTGAACAAGGGCAAAAAATGTAACCTTCATGAGAAAGAAATAGGAGTACGGGACATTTTCATTGTGTACATAAGTTGAATTGCTAGTCTGCCTAAGCTTATTCTTGCCTTTTGAACCTATGAAAACCCCCATGGGGAAGAAATGTATTTCAGGATATTTTTTAACTAAATGAAATGGTAACTTAAATGATTATTTTTCAAACAGATTCCTTTTATTTGTAAGGTTCGGAGTGAGAGTAGTAGATATTCCAAATTAAGATAAGCCACTCTCCATTCAAGGAATGTTACCCTTATATAAAGTTTTATATATATCAATGTTTAAATCTAGCCAAACTCATCAAAAGCAGAAGTTCTTAAAACAGAGTTTCTCTAAGTGGACTATAGATATGTCTCAGCGTGGGAGTGACTGCACTTATTCATGTGCTAGGAGTTTTTGAAGGCATAGAAAAAGTAAAAGTGCATCATCTCCTAGTGTCAATTTTACTTAGAAATTTTGGATATTTTGGGGGGCAGGACGATGATGATACATGTTATATCCAGGAGTTGTGTTTATGCCGTCCAAAGAAAATTTTGCATAAAGATTGAGGACAAAACAAGACTTCAAAGAAATTTTACCCTGTGCAGTCATCTCTTTAGATTACCATATACTCTATTTTATCTTTACTGATTCTTCAGTGGAGAAATTTGTGAAATAATGACTCATAACATTCTTTCCTAGGTATGATTTTCTTGTTAGTATTTTCCAAGATAGCTCAGTCACCAAGGAAACTTTGATGAAGAAATTCTGTTGATTCCTCAGTAACTGGTTATAGCACCCATTAGTGTGCAGCTCAAGTACTGGGATTTTTTTTATCTTATGGTCAAGTGTGGTTTCTCTTAAAATCCACAAAACACCTAGTCTTTATATCAGATTCTTATTAGTATAAAATGATGTCATGTTAATTAAAGCTATTATTTTAAAAGACAAGAAAGTATACTTAAGAAATAAAGCAACAATACTTATTTTAGTTTTTTGTTTGTTTATTTTCTTTTTGAGTCAGAGTCTCACACTGTTACCCAGGCACGCTCATGGCCACTGCAGACTCAATCTGCTCGGCTCAGGTGATTCTTCCACCTCAACCTTCCCAGTAGCTGGAACTACAGGTGCGCGCCACCACACCCGGCTAATGTTTTGGTTTATTGTAGAGATGAGGTCTCAACAAATTGCCCAGGCTGGTCTCGAACCCCTGAGCTCAAGCAGTCCTTTCGCCTCTGCCTCCCAATGTGCTGGAATTACAGGCATGAGCTATTGAGCCCAGCTTCTTTTTTTTTTTTGAGTTGTAGTCTCACTCAGTCACCCAGACTGGAGTGCAGTGGCCGCTCCCGGCCACCGCAGCCTCGACCTGCTGGGCTCCGGCGATCCTTCTGCCTCAGCCTTCCAAGTAGCCGGAACTACAGGTGCGCGCTACCATGCCGGCTAATTTTTTTGATTTATTGTAGAAGATGAGGTCTTACCAAGTTGCCCAGGCGGGTCTCGAACCCGCGGGCTCAGGCAATTCACTCACCTTGGCCTCCTAAAGCGCTGAGCCACCGAGCCTGGCTCTTTTTTTTTTAAAGATGATATTTTGCTGAATTTTTTTTTAAGTTCTTCCTAAGATTCCTCTGCCAACAGGGCCAAATGTTTATATCCTTATTAGTCATTTTCCTGTCAATTTCCATAGTAGTCAAAACTTCTAGGGCTGAAAATCCTCCTAATAACTGCGGGAAGAGAGGAAAACAAACAGAAACCCAGGGTGTTTGACTGTATCCTGATTATGATAGCCTGTCATCACCATTTCTTTTTAAGGAAACAACAATATACAAAGTTATATACATGTAAATAAAGTACTTGTAGTCTTCTGGTACTGGCAGACTAATAGAGAAAAGCTACAGGGCAACAAATGTTCTTCAGTTTTTCCATTAAGATTTTTTTTCCCCTGGAAATGTGGCTGACGAGTATTTGTACCTTGTGGGTAACTACCACTACACCAGACACATTCCTATCCATCTATTTTACATACACATGTGTGTGTGTGTGTGTGTGTGTCTATGGGTGTGTACACATATACTGTTGTGTCTTTTCTCATTAAATGTCTTACAATCAGATGTCTGAAGTAAAATAGTAGGGACTATTAGGAAGTTATTATATGGTAAATATTTCTGTAGGCCACCTGAAAAAGATAGATGATTACCAGAATCATTACTTTGAGTACCTTCACAATAGCCTTTGCCTGATAATTTTTGGCCATGTGCTTTTGTTTGATTTGGATTCTTTCTCCTTTCTGACACTGTGAAAGTGTGAACTCTAGGAAGGCTTGCCTGTCTCAGAGATGACAGCTGAAGGCATACAAGGATTCTTTAGATTGTCATGTATTTATTATTAATAATATCTCTTCACCTTTCCTGTTTTGGCAGAGAAGGCTCTAAATCTGTGCTGCAACTATGGGCAAGATGTTTGTTGACGTTTAACCTCTACGTTCACAACTTTGTTAGAGAAATCAAGAACACTGAAGTTGATAGCAAAGAAACACTGAGCAACTCAGGTTTTAGCTTCCAGCTTCAGTCAACTTCCTGTTTCACACAGTAGTTTTAGATGAATGGAAAGGGATGATTCATTCTTTACGGGGAATAGGAAGGAAGTTAGTAAAAACTGCTAACTGGTTTAAAACTTGAGTCCTGAAAAAAATTGTACTTTGGGAGTCATGACTGCCCACTCTTGCTCCCTCCAAATAGTTTTCTTGCTAAAAACTCTGTGGTCTTTCTTTTTTGTTTTGTTTTTTTACATCTATGGTTTTGTTGCCTTGGTGCCTGTTAGAAGTGACTTTGTATGTCACATGTCTTATCCTTAATCTTTGATTGTCATTAGCATTGAACCATATATATGATACATTCATTGAGAAACTATTTTGAGGGAAAGTGAGGTTTTTTTGTTTTTTGTTTTTTTTTTTTAGTGAGTTCCATTTGAGTAACCTTTCTGTCTTTGTCTGCCATCAAATCCTACCATACACAAGGTATCCTAAGGATATTTTTAGGTGGCATTTAAACCTTTAAAAACCTGTCATAAATGCCAGAAAACCATTTCTGACTATGCTTCTGAAGTTTAAGCTACAAGCTCAATAGAGAGCGATTAGGATATGATGAGCAGCCAAGTTTGTTCTCATTATTTAAAAAAACTTTTGGCATAAACGTTCCTGATTCATTTTCAGTTAGTTTAAAGTTTGACGGTACATTGCTTCAGGTTGAAATAAAGTCTTATTAACATATTTTTTTCCATTCTGTGATGACCATATGGCTAGGTGAAAAGCTGCGAGTCCTTGGTTATAACCAGAATGGTGAGTGGAGTGAAGTTCGCTCTAAGAATGGACAGGGTTGGGTGCCAAGCAACTACATTACCCCGGTGAACAGTCTGGAAAAACATTCCTGGTACCATGGACCTGTGTCACGCAGTGCAGCGGAGTATCTACTCAGCAGTCTCATCAATGGCAGTTTCCTGGTGCGAGAAAGTGAGAGCAGCCCCGGGCAGCTGTCCATCTCGCTCAGGTACGAGGGGCGTGTGTATCACTACAGGATCAATACCACCGCAGATGGCAAGGTAAGACTTGCAGTAACTGTCGCTGGCTGTGGACTGTCTGCTCTGTAAAAATAATAGAATGGCCAAAGTAAAATAGAGTTTTTATGTTTGACATGAAATAAAATATTCGCTGACTTCGTGAATTGGGGCTATTTGACATGTTAGAGTTTGCTCTTTTCAAAAGGATATATAGGAATGGAAATTTAAAACGGCATTATATTAATCATTTAATGATAAGCTAGATTGTAATAATCGGTACACAAATATTACACCTAATACATTGGTATATATTGTTAATTAATCTTGTGTCTTTGAAAATTAGAATAATCTCAACCAGAAAGTTCACAGAGTAAGAATTTAGACTTCTGAGACTGGTGTTGATCATTAGTGTAGGTTAATATAAATAGGTCATGGTCATTTAGCAGTTTACATATTGGCACACCAACTATGTTGGTTAAAATGTATCTGTTACAGCCAGGCTCGGTGGCTTAGCCTGTAATCCCACGCCTTGGGAGGCTGAGGTGAGTGGATTGCCTGAGCCCATGGGTTCGAGACCCGCCTGGGCAACTTGGCGAGACCTCATCTCTACAGTTAATCAAAAAATTAGCTGGGCATGGTCGTGCGCGCCTGTAGTTCCAACTCCTTGGAAGGCTGAGGCGGAAGGATCGCCGGAGCCCAGCAGGTCAAGGCTGCGGTGGCCGGGAGCGACCACTGCACTCCAGTCTGGGTGACAGAGTGAGAAACCAACTCAAAAAAAAAAAAAAAAAGTAATTTAGTCATGCTATCGTCAAACTAGGTAGGCTTTGGACCAAACAGTCTGGTTTGCTTTGTAACTGCCGCACCATTTATTAACTTTGTGACCTTACATTAGTCTCAGTTTTCCTGTCTGTAATTAAATCCTACTTTATTGGTGTTGTAAGGATTAAATAAAATAATTCTATAAAACATATGGCTGGTATAAAGTAGGAAATAAGTAAATTGTTACTTCTTTTTCTTTTGCATCACCATACAGGTGTAGTATGTCTCTTGACCAAACCGAGTAAAATCAGATACGTAATAATGTAGGAGACCCAGCAGTTCTACTTCTAGTTATATACCCAACAAACACGAGTGCAGATGTGTACCGACCTGTACAACACATTTTCAGGAATTTTTATAGCAGTATTATTTGCGATAACCAAAAATTGGAAACACCCAAATATCTGACAATAGTACAATGGATTACTAAATTGTGGCATATTCATAAGATGGAATAGCTTACAACAACAGAAATGAACATGGTACTGCTAAACACAACACCATCAGGGAAAAACTATGGCCTCCAGCTGTCTGCTTTTGTAAATAAAACTCTATTGGAACACAGCCACACCCGTTTGTATATTTGTTGTCTGTGGCTACTTTCCATTACTAGGCAGAGCTGAGTAGTTGTGACAGAGACTCTGGCCATAAGCCTAAAATATTTACTCTCTGGCTCTTTAAAAAACATGGCTGACCCCTGCTGTAGATGAGTCTCGTGCACATAAAGCTGAGTGAAGGGGATTGGTGTCTGCTAGGGAATGAGGATGGGGGAGTGGGAATGGCTGCTAACAGGTATGGGGGTTCTTTTGGGGGTTCTGAAAATATTCTGGAGTTAGAGTGTGGCAGTGGTTGGACAACCTTATGAATATATACAAAAAACCTTGCTGAATTGTTCACTTTCAAGGGGTGAATGTTATGGAATGTTAATTATATTGGAATTTTTTAAAAAGTTGAATGAGAGCCGGACTCGGTGGCTGAGCCTGTAATCCCGTGCTTTGGGAAGCTGAGGTGAGTGGATTGCCTGAGCTCGCGGGTTCGAGACCCACCTGGGCAACTTGGCGAGCCCTCATCTCTTCAATAATTCAAAAATTAGCTGGGCATGGTAGCGCGCACCTGTAGTTCTAGCTACTT